AAAATACAAATTCAAAATTTGAAAATTCAAAGCAAATAATGTTGAAAATAACTACATCAATATCCAAAGCAAACATTCGAAACAAAAAATGTCTAAAACAATTTTATTTATTTATTTTTAATTCTTCACGGGGTGGAGAAAATTGCCATCTCTAATTTAGCATAATAGATGAGAGTAAAATGAAAACTTTATGCCCATAGTGTAGGACCATGTAAATTTTAAAATTTGGGTTCTGTGTAGTAAAGCTCATGACAATTTATTCTTAACAAATATTTATTTTCTTTTTTCTTAATTGTTGCCCAATATTTTACATAATGAGAACAAGCCCCAATGAAATTGTAATTTCCGCTCCCGATTTTTTGTTAGATTTTGATATCTGAATTTATCTCTACAAATCATGTTTTTAAAGTGGGCAGATTTATGCAAACTGTTCTTAAAGGAAGCACAATGGAGTCATAGCAAACATATACCTACTTTTGACGAGTATCTCAGTATGGGATGGTTATCATCATCTGGACCACTTCTACTCGTTCATGCCTACTTTCTAATGGAAAAAAATATTACAAACGAAGCTATAGAATGCTTGAACTGCTACCCCGCTCTTTTACGCTACCCATCCACAATTTTTCGTCTTTCCAATGATTTAAGTTCCTCGAAGGTATGTTACCTTCTAGATCACTTTCTTAGAAGACAACAATAATTTATTAAGTCATTAGTGCTTATATGTACTTTTATTGTAGCAGGCCGAGATTGAGAGAGGGGAAACTACAAATGCAATTTCATGTTACATACATGAAAATGGTGTTTCTGAGGAAGTTGCTCGTGAATACATTAGGAGTATGATTGATGAAAATTGGAAGATGATGAATAAAGAATTGGTTTCGAACTCCATTTTCAGCAAGTCCTTTATTGAAATAGCCATAAACCTTGCTCGAATAGCGCAATGTCACTACCAGTATGGCAACGCTCATAGTGATCCAAATGACATAACGAGAAACCGAGTTTTGTCGGTTATTATTGAGCCCATTGACCCCGAAAAAAACGTAACACCAACATGGACAACAAATGCCGGGTCTACTCACGCCAACTTAAGCAAGTTCCGGCGCGTTTTGACTTGAGAACTGGACGGAAGAAGGGAAAGTGAGTGAACACAGGATATGCTTTACAACGGGAGACAAAAGTGTTCGAGCACTGACGATAGTTACTAAATGATTGCGCTAATAAGCAATCACCAACAAAGTATCGATAACCTAATGTCAAAACTCACAAAATGTAGAACAAGCAAAAAAATTATAGTGAGTGTATTCTCGTATGTTATCATCAATATTCAAAAGACTCTATGCTACAATTTACAAAGACCACTTATTTATAGATTTTTGGCTGACGTGGTGATTGTTGGATCGGAACCACGTGGCCTCATCTTCTCGACTGAAACCTCACATCACTAAATCTATCATATATTAAGAGTGTGTTCGGTAGAGATTAAAATCGGATTAAAACTGAAAAATTAGCCGTTATTGTTGACTTTTATTAGACAAGTGAGACCCAATAACGGCTATATTTTCAAGTTTAATTGGATTTTAAGTCTAACCAAACATACTCTAAATATATTGGCAGGGGGTCAACCGCCCTATACATTTGGCTGACACATATGAAATTCTTTATTACAAACGTTACATCAATTATTCCTAAAGATCGCAAACAAATGTTGTAAGAGACAGTTTCAGCATCAAGGACTTCAGATGAATTGAGGGCTTCAACCAAAGGGAGCTTCGTGTCAGTGGTCTTCTGTGTGAAGAGTTTCGGCTTCTTCTTTGATTTCTTATGTAGCGCTTCGACTTAAGAGCTTTAACTATTTAGACAGTGCTTTGGCACATGAGATTTATATATGCTCTTTTTTCTCCCACTTTGTGTCTACTATAATAAGCTGGAAATCTCAACTACTAAATGTTGTTGCTTTATCTTCTACAAAATAGATTGCTACAACTAATGCAATTAAAGAATGAATGGTTAAAAGGTTTATTGAATGAATTTAGATTTGTTAATAGGAATGGTGTCTTATTTTTCGATTGCCAAAGTGCTATTCATTTAAGTAAGAAACCAACATGTCATGATAGACCATAATATATTGACACTAAATATCACTTTATTAGTAAAATTATATCAAGAACTTTTAAAATTGGGAAAATAGCAACTCAATTCAATCCATCAGATATGGGAACCAAAGTAATACCTTTAAATAAATTTGACAACCGCTTGAAGTTGTTAACTATTGATTCTATTTACGGATACATGAGTAAATGATGCAAGGCTGCTGGTGATATGATATGGTACTACTACTTCAATTCTTGGTAACAAGGTGGAGATGTTGTGTAGTGTACATGTGGTATGTGTGCTTCCAAAATTGAGTTAAAAGCGTGTTTGTGAAACCTGTTTTTTTTGAGTGGTTGGAGTTCACTAGATTGTAACTACACTATATTATACATTTTATAACACATAGCTTGGTTGATGCCAATTGTATTTACTTCTGGATTCTTTTGAAAGCTTAAACGCTTCATATGGTTTCTGTGTTGATTCAGTTGTTGTTGTCGGAAATTCGACTACCGCAACCAAAAGAACAAAGAAAATAATAGGAAATAAAAATAGAAGATAAAGCGAGGTATGTCAAGGCAAATCTCCTTAAAACAGATTTCGCCCCCCAACAACGTGCAAACGGGATTATGGACGTCTGTCTCCCAAGATACAACGCTTCTTCCAAA